GTATCCATAATTTCTGCAGAGATATAAAGAAACCAGGAATGAAACATGTGAAACATCCTCTTTGAAATCTTTCCTTTCTTCAACAGGGCTGAACATGGAACTCGAAGATATAGCAAAGATAAAGAGTAAGGTTATTTTCTGTGTTGTTGAAAATTGCTGTTGGAGAGTTTTCAGAAGGTCACCACCTATAAATCAAGTTCCTGTAGAATTCCTCTAGGCATTGCTTTGAACCGAGAAATCCATGGAAGTTTAAGCTGCCTCTTTTTCTGGAGAATTTTGTGGAATGTTTAGTTGGGTGGTTTTTTTCCCAGGAAGATGAGGGATTTGGCAGATGGATGCATTGCTTCCTGCTTTGCCAGAAGTTCCCTTGTTTCCTAATCTTGTCAGTCTGCTGGAATCACATTAGTTGCATCATTCTGCCACAAGAACACGATGCTACGTAAAGTTAAGAGCAAGAGTTTGAGATATTCTTGGAAATGCTTTGTAAACAACTTTCCCTGTCTACAGAAAAGAGTTTAACATTTAGCTGACTTCTAAGAATCAAGGTCATAGAAGTTCTTAAAGTGGAATATGAATATTTAAAGGTGATATCTAGAAAATTTGATCATTTTTCTGTGTTTACAGAATCACGACAATTTTGATAACAGCCCCTTGTAATAAAATACATTTGAAAAAGAGGCTCTAGGTGTGTCCCAGAAGTGAGTTCCTGTGTGCCCTAACTTTATTTCCCTCTTGGTTCTCTTAAAGAAATTCTTCTTCAGCTAGAAAGTGCCATTGATGCAGTGGAGCTGCCACCCAATGACAGTGGGATCACCAAAGAGGGGAGGTAAATTTCTTCTTATTAATAAAAAAATACAGCAAACATGACACTGGGTCAGCTGTTAGGATTGGTAGCACTATGCCAGGCTCTGGGAACAGTATTTAATCAAGGGTTTGGGTTTCCTTAAGTCCTCTTTCTGTAGTAATCATTATTTCTGGTGGAACTCTCTTTTAAAGTGTTTCAAGAGCAGAAGATCCCATGCAGTGTGTAGCCTACCAGGTGTTCTGAACTGGAAGAAGCTTCTTTTAGTTTTGGGTCATGATTTCAACAGCTAGTGCTGCAGCAGTTTGGTTTGAGGTACCTCAGACCTCTAAGTCTACATTAAACTAATGGATATTGCTAAAAAAAAAAATCATGGAAACCAAATCTGTTTCTAAATTTAATACATGCTGTGTGTTGTAGAGAAATGTGAAAGCTGTGGTCAGGGTGGGTTCTGTCATGTCAAGGTTGTTTGCTGTCTTTATAACCAAATACTTATTTTTGTTCCTGTAATTTTTCTTTCCCATGGAGACAAGAACATGTTTTGATACTGGATGGTGAAATTGCTGCTGTTATAGAAGAGTAACAGCAGTTGTGTCTCTGTGATTCTTCACAGTGTTTACCCTTTTGTGCTCTTTCTTTGTAAATTGCAGCTACATCTTTGAGCTGTTTGCAGAGGCCCAGATAACGTTCCAGACCAAATCCTCCCTCCTGGAGTCCCTGGAGCAGATCTTACAGTTTCTTTCAGGCCGTAAGTGTCCATTTATGAGTAATTTCACTCAGGTTTTCCTCTGTAATCTGAGTCATTGGAAGTTTGTGTAGTTCAGGGAGAGAAAGGAGAAAGGCTTCTTTGTTTAGATTTAGGTTTTAAAGCTTTTGAAAGCTGAAGCTCTGACCTTGAGGACCTGTCTCTTTATTAGGATCAGCTGGGAAACACATTTTGTCTGTTCATGCAGCAGAATTTGTTTTCAGAGCCACTTTGTGCCAAAATGTATTTACCAACCTGTGTGTGTCTGTAGAGGACTTTGGCACACTGCACTATTTTTCTCCAAAACCAGAAGAATTGTGGGGTAAAGCTTGTGGGCATCTTGCTGATGGCACATTTAGTGTCTTGAGTTCTTCCCTGGTCATGGAGTTACGAAACAGGAATGTTGGGAATCACCTAATGTGGGAATCTCCTGTCTGTCAGCAGCTTGTTCTTAATTTGCCCAGTGCAAAGCAAAATCTCCAATTTCTACATATGCTAAGGAAAGGATTTAGCTGGCTCTTGCCAGCAGACTGTTCAGTATGAGCATTGCAGTGAGACTGGAGCATTCCATGGAGGCTGGAACATGGATGGGCTGTTCTGCAGGTGCACCCTCTAAGAACAAATCTGTCCTTCCCTCTTTTTTCCTCCAGGGTCTTTCTCCTTTTTAGGCTGTTTGTGCTCTGGCTTAACAAGTGCATCTGTTTATCATTTCCTTGGTCAAATTCTTATCATTAGGGTGGTTTTTCTCTGGTTTTATCTCCAATTTTTAGTGTAGAGGAGCCTTAAGAAGTTTGTTGTTGTCTCAGGTGACAGCTTCCAACTGCTTCAGAGACATGAAACTTCCTTTGGAATGCTGAGTTTACATTTCTCCTTGCTTCTTGAATAATGGTGAAATACTTGGAATAATCTTGTTCCAGATATTTTCAAGTCCTAGTATTCAGAGTGTAGTGCTGTTCAGCTAAGGTAGATATACAAATGGATGAATATTTGTGTTGTGATTGTGTGTTAATCTCTCTAGGTACTGGGATATTTGTCAATACATCTGGATTACACAAGCTCTCAGATATTATCCAGGTAAATAATTAATGCTACCTCTAAATATGTCTGAAGGATAAGGGAATTGCTTCAAAAAATGTGGCAAGAACTTGGCTCCATTTTATTTTTGCTTGTGTGTACACTTGGGCAGTGCTGGAAGTCTGTGGGTTTTTGAGGAGAAAGCTGCTGCCTAGGGGGATGGTCCACTTTGGTTTCTACTCAGGTCCTCCTGCAGCTTTGATGTCCCTTTTTGGAGATGCTCCATTTCAATTTATTGAAATGAAATTTAATGACATTTTCCATTTCTGGTTTTAGCCTCCACCAGGTGGAGCTGGGTTACTGAGCTGTTTACTTTCTAGCAGCAATGTTTGGGAATATGAGATCTTCTCATGAAACAATCATGGATATATTGAATGGTTTGGGACAGAAGGGACCTTAAAGATCATCTAGTTCCACCCCCCTGCCATGGGCAGGGACATCTGCCACTAGGTTGCTCAAAGCCCCATCCGACCTGGTCTTGAACACCTCCAGTGGTGAAGCATCCACAGCTTCCCTGGGGAACCTGTGCCAGTGTCTCACCACCCTCACAGTGAAGAACTTCTTCCTTGCTTCCAATCTACATCTCCTCTCTTCCTGTTTGAACTCATTACCCCTCATCCTATCCCTACAAGCCCTTGTAAAAAGTCCCTCCCCACCTTTTTTGTAAGCCCCTTGAAGTACTGAGAGCCCACAAGAAGGTCTCCCTGGAGCCTTCTCTTCTACAGACTGAACAACCCCAACTCTCTGAGCCTGTGTTAGTTCCTCAGGGTTTCAAAGCTGAGAGATGAACAGATTCTGAAGCAGAAGCTGTGTCTGACCCCAGTGACTGGAGCCCCCAGATGAGTGTGTGCTACAGGACTGGGGATAATTGTCTGGGTGATAGATGAAGGGTGATGTGAACTGGAAGAGCAGGATCTTGCTCTTGCCACCAGTTTTTATTAATAATACTTTTTCCCCTTCCTTTTAGAGGAACACTCACTACAGTCTCTTTTGTACACCCTATCTTTGGCTGTTTCTCAGAAGTTAAGATTTCCAGGAATTGTACTTTTATACTGCTGAAGAACATCTTTCTTGTTGCAACTGGCTGATATTTTAATGAACTTGGATAATTCCTTTTAAATGTCCAAAAAAAAAAACCCCTTTTTGTTTAGAATAATTAACAGAAGCATAAATATTTAAGAAGTACAGCTGTTTTCATGGCAATTGCCCTGGAACACCACATGTTTGAGAGAGCAGCACCCTTAGTCATAAGCCATCACATACAGGAAAGGGGAAGAAGCCTAACTCCATGCAGAAGAGTTGACAGAACCTTTTAATTGACTATCTGGGCAACTAGATATGATTACAACTTGGTTTGGGTTGTTTTTTGTTGTTTTTTTAAGTGTTATTAGTCTATCCTTAGGGCATCATGGCTGAAATGCTAAAGGAAGGAAATTAAAAAATGTCTTTTGTGCTCAGTTGTGATCTCATTTATATTTCTCCACAGCCAGAAGTTGTGAAGTGTGAATAATAATACTGTCATTTGTATAATTTAAATGTATTTAGATACTGGCATGATTTTTTTTAACATGAAAAGTCATGTGGCTAGCAGGAATTGCTTGTAAAGAAAAAAACAACTTGATTTATTCAAGATTCTTTGTCTTTACTTAATAACAGGAGCAGGGAGATATATTTAAGGTTATCATAGCAGTACCTTTTGTGGAGATAATTCTCACTGCCAAGATACAGGAGGGACTTTGCTGGAAGCAGTTGTTAAATCCCTCTCCATTTGTTTCCATCCTTTTTCCAGACAGTATTCAACGTTGATCCTCCAGAAGGCACAACAGGTTTCGTGCCCCATAAATCAATATCTAAATATTATAAGGTATGGGATGCTTTCTGTTCTACTTTTGGCTTTTTTTCCTTGCTGGCATTTTGACTCAGAAGGATGTGAACAGTGTAGCAAAAGATGGTGTTGATCCCATGGGGAATATGTAAGTTCTTCCAGGAAAAAAAACAATAAAACAACAAATTAAAAAGCCCCCAAGAAAAAACAACAATAAAAAACCCCAAAAAAACCAAAGGAGCTGGGGTTAGTTTAGGTTCCAGGGAAAAAGGGGAGCTACAGGCCTTCTTTAAAGAAACTCAAAATTAGGGAAAGTGCTGAAAATGTGAATTATTGCAAACTTTGGTACTGTGCCTTATGCAAGAATGGATGTGTTCTTCCTATAATCTTTTCCTTTGGCTTGAGTTTAGCCTGTTATCAAGTAAGTACATTAAAGCCACTGAACCTCCTCCTCCAAGTCCTTATAATTTATTTAGTTTTGGACTTTAGGGGCTGTGATGCTGTAATGAATTTTAGGGACAGGTCTTTTTTAGTTAAAAGGTGAACATTGACATGAACTTTAATACTATTTTTGTTGTGAAATGAAGCAAGTCTTTCTAACACAAGTTTTCCAGTCTGTGTGTTTTATTCTGGTGGACAATACCTAAATAATTGAGCTCCTTGTCTCTGCTCAAGGCAGCCCAGGAAAAGCTGACTGACTCAAACTGGCTGGTTAAATATTGATCTACTTCTTTGCTCCTTGGTAGATATATTATGAGAGAGTGTAAACAAAACAAGACAAAGAAGAAACAGGATGACTTTAATTAATGTCACTTATAGCATTAATAGTTAACTACCCCTAATAAAGTGTAGCTTTTTTTGAGGCATGAAGTGCAAGTTCATACCTGTAGCTGTCTCTAGGAACATTTCTGTTATTTTCTTTCAGGTTCACATTCATCTGGATAACAGCAATCAAAAGAAGAAACAAAGAACAGATCTCTGGAACTCATCTGCAAAAAAACAAGGTACAGACTTGGAGCAGCTCATGTGAAAGCTGGATTGAAAACTGTTCAACTGCTCCTTTCTGATTCAAATAAGAGAAAACAATTGAAGGCATCCCCCTGTGAACAGGGAGTCCTTGGGCAAATTTTGGGCTGTCATTATAGGATTTCTGAGTGAAACACCACCAGTGTTATATTAAATGTTAAAAATGACTGTGAGGAATAAAGGGCTGAGCAGAATAACTCAGTGAGGGCACGCTCCACATCTATCAATATCCCAAAAACCTTTTGGCATGGTAGTGTTCTTCACAGAGCTGGGGAGTCTTCTGTGTGGAAGTAGCCTTGTTGCCATGGACCAAGGTAAAAACATCAGTAGATAAAGGATTGGAAAAATTTGGGGGTGTATTTTTTTTGCTTTTTCTCCACTAAGTTAGCAGAGAAACAGGGAATGGTTTGGCTGTAGGGACTTCAGGTCTGAAGAATTCTAGGATTGTTTGAGGGTATTCCTTGCAGTTTTCTGTCTCAGAGTAGAGCTCTGTTGTGGATACAATGGCACAAGGAGCTGCTTTGCCCTTTTACAGTTAGCTGAAAAGGGAGGTGACATAAGAAATCTCTGTCTAAAACACCCTTTTAGCAGTGATGCTTTGGGCACTGCTGGGGTTGTTCCAGTGCACTTATTCCAGTGAAAAAAGAAAAGTCTCCATCATGAAATGGTTGCTTGTGTTGGTGTAGAGAAAATCTCCAGACCAGCCTGGGGAGAACCATCCTTCAGATTGACACTGAGATTTATGAGAAGTTCCCTGTCTACCTGTGTTGTGTTCAACACAAAATGAGCGTTGCTAAGGCTGTCATTACTTTTTGTACAAGAGGGAGATTCATGTCCAGATATGACACTGAAAATACATGCCAGAAGATTTGTAAGCGTAAATTCCACACTTCCTGGGCTGTCCATGTGCAGATCCTTACTGTAACTTACAGCAGCTCTTAGTGTGATTTAGAGATATGGAATTTAGTAGATTTTGGAATGTGATTCTTGTAGAATCTGGATGTTATCTGGATGGATTTGCCCAAGTGAGGTGGAAGGAGAAAAGTTTAGTTTAAAATAAATGTTCTCTCCTAATTCTAAGCAGTGAGTGACTCACTGGGGATTTCCTGAAACTGTCACTCCTTTTTGAAAACAGTTTTTTGAATGAAGCATGTGCATTTAAAACATGTGCACATGATATGTGTATGTTACATTTGTTTTTTTTAAAACTGAAACTAATCATACAAAACAGAATTAGAAACAGGAGCAAAAGCTGATGTTTTATTTAGCTGCTCTCCTTCTTGATGCAGATGACTTTTATTCCTTTGCTCCTCTGACTGTCTCTGAAAAGCTGCTCTTAAGTTTTCAGCAAGACCAACAATGTACAACTATGAGCTGAGCAATGAAAGGACTAATGTGTTTTATTCAGTTTTCTTCATATCTCTTCTGTGGATAGTTTATAGTAAGCCAGATTTTTGGTGTCACACACATTGTGTATCCACATCCCACAAGAGATCTGAGCAGAAATTGAAAAGTTTGGCAGTTGACTGCAAGGAAAAGGCAAAGTTTGGGTGCAGGGTTAACGGCCATTGGAAATTCCTGATAGAGAAAAGGAGTTTTTCTCCTTTCATGCAAGAGCAGGGGTGGAGATACTGTGGGGTGGTTTTGTTTGGGTTTTGTTTGGCTTGGGGTTTTTTTTTCCTCTAGCAACTTCAGTCATTTGTCCCTCATCCCAGTATTCTGCTGTTCTACCATGTTCCAGTTCTTGACAGCAGGATGTCAGTCACTGGATGGAGGACTGAGTAATTTTATCTGCTCAATCTGCCTGTTATTTACCAACGAAAAGATCTGATGCTCTGTCTTTTCTATGACCATCTTGTGATTAAAGGTGTAAGCTACTTAAGGTGCAAGGGAGCAATGACCTTTTAAATGATATTTTGGATGGGCATAGCAATTAAATCTGTGAAGGACCCAAGCAGCACATACCACACATCTAGAGTTTTACCTTCAGACACTGGCTGTTTTACTTCCAGCAGTTCTGATGCAATGTGTTATATGCCAGTTATATTCTAATTTTTCCACTTACAGACTTATTTCTTATTGTTTTCTCTTTATTTAATGTAGGAAAGACCTTAAGCTATTGGTGTTTCAGCCCTGGATACAGCATGCACGAGCTTGTTCGACAGGGAGTCAGGACAATTATCCTCACTAGTGGGACTCTGTCCCCCCTCTCATCATTTACAATGGAAATGCAGATGTAAGTACTGAAAATGCACAATCTGCTCTTCTCATTTTAGGTTTTATCTCAAGATTTTTGAGTGTTCTGGACTGGTAGTCTGTGGGGGATTGTATGATGAATATGACTGAGGTATTACTTTGGTGTTTCTTTAGCCCTTTTCCTGTTTGTCTGGAGAATCCTCATGTTATTGATAAACACCAGCTCTGGGTTGGGATCATTCCTAAGGGACCTGATGGAGCTGTGCTTACTTCTACCTATGAAAGAAGGTAATGAACTTCCATGTGCAATTCTGCTTTGAAGTCTTGGCTCCCAGTATTTTGGGTTCTGCTTAAAGGAGGGTGCAAGTGAAATAAGTGGTCTCTGTAGGTTTTTTTCTTGTATAAACAGTGAGCTGAGTCACACCCTTTAACCACTAATGTTGAAAATTTGGAACTGGAGAGCTGGAAGGAGATCAAATGTCAGGACACTGAGTGCACCAATAGTTCTTAATGACCCTGACCAGCCTTAGCTGGGATCTCCACCCCCAACCATCACCCAAGAGCTCCACTTAAGGTCCAACAGAGGCCTCCAGTCCCTGCCTACACTGTAGGGCTCTATGTCTGCAGCTCCACCAGAACCATACCTGGTCATAGCCCCTGTTGATCTGACCCTGCTCTACTGATTCATTTTGTGGTTTGACCTCTGACCTGGCTGTCACTATAGACCTGCTATAGACCATTCCTGGACTGTGACACTCCTTACTGTCACTGGACCTGCTCCTGGTCTGCTGACTTGCCTTCCTGGCTTGACTTTGGACCTTCCCCACCACCATGGCCCATGAGGATCCAGATCCTGATGATCCAGACTGAGCCTGGCTGCTGCATCTGAGCCTTCCCTGCTGGCCTTGCTCTGTTGGTGTGGGTCTGGGCAGACACCCCTGCCCCACAGTCCTTCATCTCATGCTGAGTTGCCACCTCCCTGTCCCTTACAGAGCAGTTCACCCTACCTGACATAAAGCCCCATCCTAAATTTCTCTGCTGAAGGTTCAGTTGATTTGAAACCTGACTGGCCTTTGCCAGAGCTAGGTGTTTAAAGCTTGTCACCATGACCAGCCTGTCTTTGACTTCTGCATTGCTTTCTTAAGGCAAATAAATCCAAGTATTTGTCAAGCTTTTCATCATCATATATCTTGCTTTAATCTGGTCTTTCATAATTTTGCTTGGGGCTTTCTGCTCTTCAGAGTAGACAGTGCAGCTGCCAGCAGAATATACTGCCAGCAGGAAAGCCCAAAACTTGATTTCATTGTGTATTAACTTCTGTTGTGCAACGTGAGAGCTTCACTGGCACCTCTGTGTGTCATTTTAAGAGGCAGCTTGATGCTTTGCTGCACATGGCAGAAGGTTCTGTGCTTGCCACTTCTCTGAAGGTACTGAGGAGTGCATTGGTGCCAGTGCTGTGTTCAGGGGTGCAATCCTGCAGTGCTTTGCAAGGAGGATCAGTTCCCTGTGTGTGATACACATTCTTCCAGCTGGCTGCCTTCCTGTAGTACACACGTCGCTGTGGACACATTCTTAAATCCTTCAATTTCAACACCTAGACAACCCTCTGATTGAGGATTCTGTTATTTAATTCTGCTGCAGGCCTGGCTTTTTCTTTCAGCAATACAGAAGAGTAAAACAGCAGATCTTAAAAGAGCTTTTAATAAAAAAAAAAAGGGAAAAATGCCAGGTGTTCCACAGAACTGGAAAGAGCCTCAGCCATTGTGATTGGCATTTACAGAGAAGGGGAAGTCTGGAAACCCCTCAGATTGGATTTTTAATTTGAGAAGCTTGCTGGGCCATTTTGGTGTAGTTTTGTTGGAGATCCTGTCTTGAAGGCAGAAGGTTGGAGATCCCCCCCCCACCAAGGGCTAGAACACATCTTTTTTTTTGAAGGAAGGGACTTCACAGTGTTTCCTGTGTTTTGACAACGTCTGTGTGGCATTTGTAAGCCTTATAGAAATGAACATGTTCCCTTTTTCCCTTGCATATTGAAGTTTCCTGGGAAAACAGTATGCAAAATTACAGGGATTAAAAAGAAAGAAGCATAGAGGCACTGGTGGCTTTTCAGTAAGTGCTGGCAGAAACATAAATGCTGTGTTATTCATTTTATGGCCTTGGTGTGTGTGCTTGCCCCAGGAAGGAGAGGAGGTGGGGGTATGGATGTGCTGTTTTAGATGAGTATCAGAGGAAGCCAATCTGTAGGATAAACATAGACAAGGAAATACAATGATGTTACTTCATTTTTCTTCTTTTTTAGGTTTTCAGAGGATTATTTATCTTCTCTGGGGAAAACAATTGGTAAGTGAAGTGTGTGGGTTTCAGAAATGGGTTGTTGCACAGGAGTTTTAGAAATCCAGAAAGAAGAATAGTCAAGAAAATGTAATAAGCCAGAGGAAGGTAAAGGATTAGATTGGGTATCTAAGTGCTGCTTGAGTTTGTGTCATTCTGTTTGCTCAGGCAGCTGGCTGCTGTAACTGTGTACCAAAATGAGTCCTTGGTTTAACAGCTCCAAGTTAGGAGTTCATTTCTATTGTAGGTGTTTGGATTTGGGTTAAAAATGTGGTTTGTAAACAGCCAGAAAATGGCACAAACTGGAAAATGACAGTTCAGCAGCATTGCAGCCAGGTGTCATTTGCAGAACATTTAAGGCTCACAAGAAGTCAATGCAGCTTCATGTGCTAGTTCTAAAGGCACTGGGTGAAGCCCACTTTAAGTCAGCATTTGGTTTTTGGGAATGTTTCACAAATAAAATAAGCTACAAAACTGTAACTTGTCTGTCTGGTTGCAGGGAACCTGGTGAGGGTTGTACCACACGGGCTGCTGGTGTTCTTCCCATCCTATCCTGTCATGGATAAGAGCCTGGAGTACTGGAGAGTATGTGAAGTGCTCTGCCTGTGTTAGGTGCTTTGGTTACACATCAGTCTGTAGTTGTGCTGTCTAACCACCATCACTAAAATTTCTTTTAAGTAAATGATAGAATCTGGAAAGTAAAAGCCCAGTCAGGCTTTGTGTATTTTGCTCACAATAGACTGAAATGCAGAGTTGTAGAAACCAAACCCAAAAGAGTCTTAATATGTTATCTCATCTGATCTGTTCTCAGAGTTTCCTTAAGTTCACTGAACTTCTCATTATTAAACCTCTAAATTGGAGCTGGTCCAAGTGTTTCAGCTTCTAGGGGAAAAATTCCAATATGAGCATTTGTCTTCATTTTTAGTTTCTAACTGTTACAAGTGTAACTTTTCAAACTGCTGTGCTTGTGACACGTCCCTGGTAAGACTTGGTGGAGCAGTTCTGCTTTAAATGCTGCTCCTCCTTCAAAGCAAATGCTGGGATGGAGCTTACAAGTGGGACAGCAAAGAATCTGATCAGTCACCTGCATCACCTCTGAGCTGCAGGGAGTCACTGCTGCTGTGGCTGGGCTTGCCAGGGTCTGCTTCTGTCTGCCTGTGTTGAGCAAGAGAGGAGCAGACTGCTGGGGAAGTCTGTGGTGACTGCCCCAGAGCATTTCCTTCCTTGTGGGCAGTTCTGGTATGTGGTTATTTTCACATGGCCATTCATGATCTGTTTAACAGGAGCATGATTTTGCTAGAAGAATAGAGGAAGTGAAGCCAATGTTTGTGGAACCCAGGAACAAAGGAAGCTTTGCAGAGGTTGAGTATTTGCATTACACACCTGTAACATTTTCAGAAACTGTTTTTACTTTTAAATACCTTCTCTATGATGTGTTTGGGTATGAAACACCCCAAAATTATCCTAGGATAAAATTAAAACTCTGAGAGCTTCTTTGAAGTTCATAGTTTTTCTGTGGATCCTCCCTTTACTCTCATGGCCAGTTATGCAGGGTACAGTCTTGGTCTGAAGTCCAGTGATGTGACAGTGGCTAACACAATGTGCACTGAGTAAGGGAGGTGGTAGAAAGCTGTCACTTCAGTAGACAGCATCTTTTAATGTTCTGCTGGACATTTCCTCTCAGCTTGTCATGCTTTGGGTGTTAAGAAATTGCTCAGTGTTATCTTGTTTACTAATAGCTGCTGTGTTTGCTGCCTAGAGTAAATCATCTCCTTGAACAGCTTTGCCTGTCATGCTTGAGGATCTGCAGAAAAGCAGGAGAGTCCAAATATCTGATGTTAATCTTCTGTGCTTACCCAGATATATTAAAGATTTCACAGCCATGTAAGGATTTTGCAAAGCAGATGGTTTCTTCCATTTGCCATTAGTGAAGGAAATTACACTCAGCCAAATTAATCTCATTTTAGATCTCAGTGTACAAGTCAAATTTAGGTAATGCAGCTTTCTAAATATGCAAATGCAAAGGGTAATGATAATACAATTCCTGCTTTTGCTTAAACTAGTTTCTTTTTCAGGTAATGGGTGCCTACTATGATAAAGTTGTCTGTCCTAAATCCAATGGAGCTGCTTTCTTGGCAGTGTGTCGGGGAAAGGTAATGTCATGAGAATTTGTTTCATCTGAGATCAGATTATAGAGTTAATGAGATAAAAAAACCATCTTTCTGGACTTCAGTCCATTTCTGTTATTTGGCTGTAATTATAGGTGGGAAAAACCAAACCCAAACAACAAAGAGAAGTAGGATGCCCCAGAGCCTTCTCAAAATTATGTCAAGTTTATGTAGGCCTCGTTCCTAGTTTTATTAAAGGCATCCAGCTTTGAGTTCTTTCAAGGGGATGAGCTTCATACTTTTATCTCCTGTTGGCTGCTCACCAAAACCAGCCCATTAGCTGAGAACAACTGCTTTGGAGAACTAAGGGAAACATCTGTAATGAAACATGTTAGAACAGCACTGCTGAAAACCAAAAGTACTGCTTAGCTTTAATAACTTAATTAACTTCAGGTCCTCTGGACACATTTGTTGGCCATTCATTTATATTTCCCAGTGCTGATAAGTTGCCTTATGATTATCAGTGGAAGCATTGGCAAAATCATCAGTTAGTGTTGGAGCCTTTTTGCTGCTGCTTGCTGTGTACCAAGAGAGAAGATTCAACTTCTTTTGAACCTTCAGTCTCCAAAGCAGCTGTTGGGTCAGTGAAGAAAAGATGTTTCTCTCTTGGGGTGGGACCCTCAGCTGAATGTGCCAGTCCTTCCACCAGCAGTGTGTGACTGTGGGAGGAGTAGAGTCTGGGAGAGATCAGCTTTGCAGTAACATGCAGCTGAAGGGTAGATAGTTTAGTTTGCTGTAGGCACAGGGTTAATAATATGACTATAAAATTGGAAATTGAGAAGATCAACCAAAAGAGGCACGTTGTCCAAAACTCTAGAACTAGGCCTCTTCTAGCAGCTTTCTGGTAGCTTTCCATTATTGCTTTGAAATGATTCTGTTCATTTTTAATGTCAGAGGAGGTTTGCTGTGTTCTTATCACATCTTGTTAACAACTCAGGGTTTGGAAGGTACTGGCTGGCATGTAAGATGACTTCTGAATACGGCTGTCCTGCTAACCCAGGAGTAAGACCTATGCATTAAGGGTGTTGGCTGAGGTATGCTTTGTCCAGGGCCTCCTGGAGCAAACAGCTAAGTTTAAAGTCCTGGTAATAAAAGCAAAAAATCTAGTTGAAACTATTCATAAAGTATTGGTAAACTACACTTGGCTGGGGATTAAATTTAATGGAGAAAAAAAGGCCAATAGCTGCTGAATTGCTCAGAAACGTCCCTTCAAGTCCTGTTGATAATGGAAAACTCTCTCTCTCCAGGCCAGTGAAGGCTTGGACTTTGCAGACATTAATGGACGAGGAGTCATCATTACTGGGCTTCCATTTCCTCCTCGTATGGAGCCCAGAGTCATTCTAAAGATGCAGTTCCTGGATGAAATGAGAAGAAGTGGTGCAGGTGCACAGGTAATGCTGGGCAGCTTTGCACTCTTGGCTCTTTGCAGGTTCCTGTCTTTGTTTCTCCTCCCTCTTGTCTCTGGATTTTGGCTTTTGTTATCCTCCCAGCCTCATGAATATCAAAAAGTCAAACAACCTTGGGAGTTTGTCACAACTACAGTCACCTTTTTCTTTTAATAATATGAAAGGTTCCAAATTCTGTCTCCAGTCGCACGATCTCAGTCAAACGTAGGCTCCAAAAAATGCTAAAAATAAAGTTTCAGTCAAAATCTTTCCATGCATGTTATCAGTGTGTCTTTCTAAGGGAATTGTTTCATCCAGAGAGAGGGTGAGCAGGAAGAATTGCCTGTGCTGGCTGGCTTGGGGATTTTGGGTTTGGGGGTGTGATGAATACTCTGTGTGTGTTTGGGGTTTTTGTGTTTTGGTTTCCTCTGGTTTTCTGTCACTTGAGCCATGAGAACGAATGACTTTACAAATACAGTTTATTGTCCTGCAGGGTGGCTCTTAGGTCTTAAATAATCTGATGAGCTTGCTGCACCACCAGGGCTGTCAGTGCACCACACACTGAGCAGCCCCTCAAGTGGGGAATTGCTCCTGGAGTGTTCTGAGGCAGGTGGGAGATCTGAGTCAACCTAGATGTGGCTTTTAGGGGTCTGTCAGTAGATCTTGTTGGATGCTTCCTTTTTTGGTTCTTTCTTTAGAAAGAAATAATGACTGTACAGCACAGAGAATGCATTTTACTCAGTAAATAATGTGAATTCTTCCTCCTATGTCTTGCAGTATTTATCTGGGCGAGAGTGGTACAGTCAGCAAGCCTCCCGGGCTGTTAACCAGGCTATTGGCAGGGTCATCAGGCATCGCCAGGACTATGGTGCCATCTTCCTCTGTGACCACAGGTGAATCCTTGGCTCTAGAGCATCAACACTCAGCAGCATCTCTATCTCCCCACATGGGTAGTGGTGTTTTGTATATAAATGTGTTGATGTTACTGTTTGGAGAAGGCTGCGGTTCGTAGGTCAGGAAATAATTTTATATAACAAGCTGTATAAATATTGCACTAATTTAAGTAACCAGCTTATCTTCTGCTCACAAAATATACCCTGTTGGAGCTGCAGGGAGAGTCTAATGGTATTCATGCAAAAGAAGCCAATTTGTTGAATTCATGTTTGTAATGGTACTGGAAATTGTGTGACCAGAGGTGAAAATGTAAGCCCATAAATTATTATTTGAGAAGGCATTAGCACTGCAGTTTTGTGAGAGGAGGAGGATGAAAATGAGGAAAGGATATATTACTGGAACAGTATATTCTATATTAATACACTATATTAATATCATAACTCATTAAGGTCCAGTAATACCTGTGTAATAGGCAGCAGGAGTTTAATCAGTAGCATTCAGTGCTGAGGCCTGGCTGGGGACTGAGCACATCACATCTCACTACTACTGTTGCTATTGCACAGTCAGATTTTTATGGATAGAAGATAAGATCTGCTGATTTCATGGTATCAACAAAGCCCTTTCCTCCTCAGCAATGACATCACCCCGTTGTATTTACTGCACTGTTTCAGCCTTTTGTTGGCTTGCTGCTCCTCCTGTGTCCTTTTGGCCCCTGTTGTAGCATTTGTTTAATTCATGTGGGCCAGCCTGGCAGATAATTCTCTCCTCCTCCAATCCTCCCCAGGTTCACCACTGGTGATGTAAGAGGCAAGCTGCCCTCCTGGGTCCGCCCGTACGTGAATGTTTATGACAACTTTGGGCATGCAGTCAGAAGTGTCTCCCTCTTCTTCCGTGTTGCTCAAGACATTGTAAGGATCTGGAAAATGTCTTGGTTTGTAGGTTTTTGTTTGGTTTTATTGGTAGTGCTGAAAACTGGGAGTACTAAGGCAGGTGAGAATCACTTGTCTTGGCACTTCTAAACACGGGAAGATTTATGGGAAAGGAGATATGCCTCGTCATTCTCCACGAGGGAGCTGGGAAAGGATGTGTTGTCATGCTGGGCAACTCAGTAGGTTAGACCACAAAAATAACTTCCTTTTCCTCTTCCTCCTAAATAAACACAGTTTTCATTGGGTGGTATGCAAATACTGGAACAGACGTTAGCAGCAAAAAGCTTTCAACCTCACCCTCAGGAGAGGGTAGATGGGTAGGAGAGTCAGTCAGACCTTCACATTTAAATCTGGACTGGAGTTAAGAATTAAACAAACCCATAGATTATTAATACAATTGCTCACTGGGTCATCTTTACTAATACACCTTCTCTCTTAGCATTCCAAAGGTCTTTTTCTCAATAATAGTTTTTTGACTTAAAAAGTAGTATTGTAAAAAGTCTTTCTAAGTGACTTGAGAAAGTCATTGCAAGAAGTGGGCTGGAAGCCAGAATGGAGAATTCTTTGTCTCCCAAGTGGAGATTAAGATTAAAATAAACACTTAAACTTTCACATGCAGACTTGGATGACTTCCTGGAAGATGCTTTAGTCAAATGCAAAACAAGAGTTGTTCAAAATAATAAGTTACAGACGGATGGTACTGGATGACTTGATCTTTTCTGATCATAAGTGGGAGTTGTGTGGTAAACAAGAGTCACAACCCGAAGTGTTTTGCCAGAAGGAGCTACACTGTGGCAATAGTGTTAGGAAGCAATTGTGTTAGTCTTCAGAAGCAGGGTCATGACCTGTTTTGTGTTCTGCAGGTCTCTTAGTGCTGAGCCTGCTTACTACACTCCATCTACCTATGTCACCTCCTGCTTATTTGATCCTTTTTTCAAAAGCATGTAAATCCAGAAGGCAGAACAATCTTGCTATCAAGGGTGGTTTGGGAAAAAAGAGATTTCTTTGGGCTGGTGCTGAGATTCTTTGCTTGCCATGGAGGTGGAGTGGAAGAGTAGCTTTTGCCTACTCTAACTTGTTGTGAACTGCTTGCAGATGCCCCCACTCCTGCCACAGTGCCCTTCTGGCTCTGCTGCTTCCCTAAATGAAACCAGTACAGCACCATCTACTTCATCTGAGCAGACCCTCTCCCTGAAAAAAGCCAAAAACTTGGATGACCATGTTCCTAGTTTGAAGAGGAAAAGGAACGGTAGGTTTGGTTCTCACAGATGTACTTTTTATTTTGGAAGCTGAACCAAAAGAGTAGGAGCAGGAGACTAGGAATGGGAATGGGAGAGAAAGCAAGGAAGAGCTCAAAAACTGATGTAAATGTCAGATCAGAAGGGACATAGCTGAGCATTAGAAAATGGGGGAAACTGTTGTAACTACAGAGCAAAGAGGGAACCTGAAAGTGTCCTGCAGAACAGGAGTCTGGGGAATATCATGGCTGATTTAAAAAATGAGAACTGGAAATGTGTTTCTGACTAGCACTGAGTCTCCTGTGTCCTTTTTCCACCCTGTTGTGTAAATGTTTCTTACAGAGTCATCTGATGAGGAAAACAGAAGGGGGCAACTGACCTTAAAATGAACAAACCAGCATTTTAGAATGTGAGGTTAGCTCATGCCCAAGAATAAACTGTTTCTCACCCTGGATGTTCTTGCAGAACGTTCCACTCTAGATTGCTTGCTGGTTTGGAACAGAACAGTGAAGTTATTTAGAACTGGGGTTCCAAAACAGTGATGACTGAGCACGAGGGTGATTTCCCATCACATCTAAGCCAGCATGACTGCAGGTCATTGCTGAAGGGCATTACTTTGGCCACTGCTTTTTTCCTCCCTCCCTTTCCACCCATGCACTCGTGCTCCTTCCCTTCATTGGAATCTGTTTATTGTGCAAGTGCAGAGCAAGGAGATGAGCTTGCTGAGCTGATTTACCTCTCACCTATGTTCCTGGGGGATCCATCTCTCTGGGTGGGCTGGACTGGGTGGCTGGAGGCACAGGGAAGGAGCTGTGTTGCCTCTGGTGCAGATTCCCAGTTGCTTTGCACTAGCTGTGGCATCAGACTGCACCCTGTAATCATGGTTTTGGCTGAAGAGTTCCTTGTATTGACTTCTTAATTTACAGCATAATGAACTTCCATTCTTCTCAAAATAGAGACTTTTCTTAGTAACTGACCAAGTAATTTCACAAAATAGTGGGAATATATTTTGAAGAGAATGCCTTTTAGAAGTAGCAAACTGATACTAATTTAACACTACCTACAGCTCTAAATTCTTACATCTAAACCCAAATAAACCTGGATCCCAATTGGTGAGAATGTGTGTTCTTGGGACCTGAGAGTGCCTGTGTCTTACAGATACTGATACTGTGAGGATTGTAGGCTTTTAAAAAACAAAAAAATGTTCTGTTAAAAACAAATGACTTGTGTTTCATCCCAGAATCTCTTAAAACCAGGAACTTGACTTTAGAGAAACCCTTAAAGACAAAATAGTTAGAGAGCTTTTGCAGCAAGATTTTTCTTTTTCCCCTCCCATTGATCCAAAGCTGTTTTGAGGTTAAATCTCACCATTTCTCAAGGAAAAGTTTGAGACAAGTCCAACAGGTTGTGATAACAAATGCTTGAGCAATTTTGGATGTCGTTAACCAAAGCAGTCTTTTTTTCTGAGTCATATCATACAATTTTGGAAGATTAAATAAACCAGCCTATCTGTGCAGATGACTTCCTAAGCTTTTTGAGGTATTGCTAAGTCAAAGAAAATGCAGGAGAGATAATGTGGAATGTTCATTTGTCATCTGTGTTACGCTGTGATGCCAGTAAATGGAGATGGAGCTTCCAGCCTCTGCATGGAGTATGAACAAGAGCTTGTCTCACCTAGAAGACAGTGTGCTGGGCTCTTGGATGCCTTGGAACGCAATGAGAAGAACACTGAAGGTGCAGAGGAGGAAGATGACTTGTCAGGAGAGGAGAAGGTAATGGCAGTGATGTAGTAAAACACCTGCTAATGAGTAAAACTTGTAGGCTCTAAAGCACAACGAGTTTGACGTTAATTAAAGAGTATTTATCTACCAATTCAATCCTTTTTCAAGAAAACCTCACTGTAATCAGCAGAGGTAATTGCAAGTTCTTGTAATTAAGGTTGTTAAAAGGAATTCCTGGCCACATTCCATTAGATGACCCACAGTGTGCTCCCTAGCTGCTGACCACAGATTCCTAGAAGTTAACCATGCCCTCTGGAGAGCAAAGAGCTCTTAAAGAAGAGGGTGTTCAGTATGCAGTTCCTCCTGAGTGGAATGTGTCAGCACTTGGTATGTGGGTGGAGGAAGGATTTATGGATTTGAAATTGCACTGTGAGATGAAAAATCTTTTGATTAGCCTTAGAGAACTGAGTAGTGCAGACTTGTGGAATATTTTATCTGAATCAAAAATCTACTAATGCCTTAAGATCAACAAAATTTCTTTGCAGTTTTTCTTTCCTTTTGGATTGTTATTTTTAATACATCAGTGATGGACTGTGTTCTTGCTTTCCCAAAAAATCTACTCATGCCTTCAGAGCAACAAAATTTCTTCTGTGCAGTTTATTTTCTTTCCTTTTGGATTGTTATTTTTAATACATCAGTGATGGACTGTGTTCTTGCTTTCCCAAAATCTCTGTTTGCAGTTACTGGTGGGGGGTGAGGTAGCTCCATTACCTGGCTACCATCTGCAGGAGTGTTTTACTGCTGGCTTGCAGACTCAATTTGGCTGATGTCTGGTGTGAAGACTCCAGGAAAGACTATTGTGACAT